TTCCAGGTGTGTTGTTGTGGGGTCTCCCCTTCCAGGTGTGTTGTTGTGGGGTCTCCCCTTCAAGGTGTGTTGTTGTGGGGTCTCCTTACCTCATTCTGTTATTGCAGAGTCTCCCCACACTGGTTTGTTGTTGTGGGGTCTCCCCACGCTGGTATGTTATTGTAGGGTCTCCCCATGCCAGCAGGTGCCAAGGCACCTCGGACTGCCCCTGCTGCTCAGGTGGGGTGGCTCAGGGGCCTCTGGGCGTCCCTTGGCTGCCTCCCTGCCACAGGATGGCACAGGGCCACTCGGTGTCCCCCTGAGTGTCCCTGGCATGGGAGGGGCACGGGACCCCCAGCTGCGAGGACAGGGGGACACAGAGAAGGAAGGGGGATGTTGGGGAGCAGGGAATGGGGGTGCCAGGGCAGGGGGATGGGGCATCAGGGGAGTGGGGGAATGCCAGGGCATGGGGTGCCAGGACATGGTGGGGATGTCAGGGAACGGTGGAACAGGACATGGGGTGCCTGGGTTGGGAGAGGGGGGTTTTAGGGGAAGGGGTGGCGGTGTAATGCAGGGATGACAGGGAAGGGGGTGCCACAGTAATGGGGGGGGTGCCAAGGAATGTGGTACCAGGATGGAAGGGGATGTCAGGGAATGTGGTGCCAGGACACGGGGGATGGCAGGGGATGGGATAACAGAGTGATGGGGGGATGGCGGGAAATGGGGTGCCAGGGGAGTGTATGGGTGTCAGGGAATGGGATACCCGGGCAGGTGATTGGGATCCGGGGCAGAAGGAGGGTGCCAGGGTTGGGGTGCCAGGTTAATGGGGGGATCCCGGTGGGTGGGGTGTCAGGATGCCAGGGGATGGGCCGCCAGGGAAGCGGGTGGATACCAGGGCGTGGGACAGCAGGGCAGGCGATTGGGATCCAGGGCAGCGGGGGGGGGTGCCAGGGGGCGGTGTGCCAGCCCACGGGATGGCGGGCGGTGGGGCGGAGTGCCGGGGAGATGCCGGGGAGATGCCGGGGAGATGCCGGGGAGCGGGGCTGCGGGGCGGGCTGGGCTGCGGGGAGGATACCGGGGAGCGGGGCGGCGGGGGGGGGGGGGCGCCGGGGCGGCGGGTGGGCTTTCCCCACGCCCTCGCCCCGCCTTCCCCCGCCGTCCCCGCTGCCTGCCCGGCGCTATTTGAAGTGGGACAAGAAATGCTCCACGGGGTATCTCGGGGAGTCGATGCCCAGCGCCTGGCACAGCCCCAGCAGGCGCACGCAAGCCTCGGCCCGCGTGGCCCCGTCGCACGCCACGCTCAGCAGCGGCTCCTCGTACTCGCCGTCCCCCGCCACCTCCTCGAAGAGCCGGTTGAGGCGGACGAGCCCCCGGCCCTGCAGCTCCCGCAGCGCCTCCATCCCGCCGCCGCCCGCCAGCGCCGCGCCGTGCTCCGAGCCCAGGCACATCACCCCGGCCAGGTGGGCGCGGGGCGCGGGGCGGGCGGGCAGCACCGGCGGCACCCCCAGCGCCACCAGCACCGCCGCCAGCAGCAGGTCGGGGCCGTAGACCTCCCGGATCCAGTCGCGCAGGTAGAAGCCCCCCATGCGGGGGTTGATCTCGAGCAGCCGCGGGCCCCCCGGCCCCAGCTTGAGCTCCACGTTGAAGACGCCGTCGCGCAGCCCGCACGCCCGGCAGCACTGCAGGGCCGCCCGCACGAGCTGCGCCTGCCGGTCGGCGGGCAGGCAGGAGGGCAGGCAGGCCGCCGTCTCCAGGAAGGCAGGGACGCGCGTGGGGCCGTTGTCCGACACCCAGGCGCCCACGAGCCGCCCGTCGAAGACCACCAGGTCCACGTCGTGCTCGGTGCCCGGCACGTACTCCATGAGCAGCATGGCGTTGCCCCAGCCCAGCCCGATGCCCGGGTGGTCGGCGTCGTCCCGCAGGTCCCGCCACAGCCTCGCCGCGTGCGCGTGGCACTGCCCGGCGTCCTCCACCAGCCGCACCCCGACGCCTCCGGCCCCGAACTCCAGCTTGGCCACGGCCGGGAAGGGCACGGCGCCCGCCGCCCGCTCCACGTCGCCGTGGCTCTGCAGCCGGCGGCAGGGCACGGCGAAGGCGGCGGGCGGCGGGCGGCCGCGGCGGCAGCGCTGCAGGTGCTGGTGGGTCCGGCTCTTCTGCTTGGCCACGCGGACGGCGGCGGGCGAGCAGCCGCGCAGCCCCAGGCCCTGGCACACCAGCGCCGCCAGCACCACGCAGTCGTCCCAGTAGGAGAGGCAGGCGTGGGGCCGCAGCCCCCGGGAGCGCACCAACTCCAGCACCCGCTCCGCGTGCTCCTCGTCCCGCCGGTGCTCCCGGCTGTCGTAGGGCAGGAAGGTCTGGACCAGCCCCGCCGCGAAGTGCTCCGGGTCCGACTCCACCAGGTGGATCTGCGTGGCCCAGAGAGGTGTCGCCGGCGACGCCCACCGCCACCGGCCGGGACGCGGCACCCAGCGTGCGCTCCGAGACCTCCGGAGGGCAGCGCCCCAAACCCTCCTCACCCTCAGCCCGTACTCTCGAGCCGCCTCCCACACGAAGCTCTTGCTGACGCCGCCGGCCCCGATGAGCAGGATGTCCTTGCCCTCCACCAGGTGACACTGCGCCCGGTGCAGCATGGCCTCGGCCAGCAGCCGGGGCAGGTCCCCCGCGGGCTCCCCCACGGCGCGCCCCATGGCCTCGGCCAGCACGCAGGTCTCCAGGCACCGCTGGCTGTTGGTGGCCAGGGCCACCAGCTCCAGGGCGTCATCCACGCACGCCAGCAAGAAGTCCACACCTGGGGACGGTGACAGTGACGGTGACGCCGCGCTCGGCGCCGCAGGGTGACATCGGGGACCGGCGCCGCCCCTCGCCGCGCTCACCCAGGATGTCGGTGCGGGCGCGGGAGCCGCCGCGCTGCTGCGGGCTCAGCTCGGCCTCGGCGGCCAGGAGGGCGACCATGGCGGCCTCGGTGGCCTCCCGGAGCCGCGTGGCCAGCGCCTGGCGCTGGCTGGAGGCCACCACCCCCCACTGCTGCAGGCTGGAGTCCAGGCCCTGGGGCAGCGCCGCCCCGTGACGCACCGGGCTCTCCGCGCGTCCCACGGCGCAGGCCACCTGCGGGGACACCGGCGCGGCCGTGGGGACACCGGCTGCCCCCCCATCGCCCGGGGACGTGGGCTGCTGCAGCGGCGCGGGGACATGGGCGGCCACACAAGGTAGGGTGACTACCTTGCCACCAGGTATGGGGGTGTTGGCTGCCACCCCATAGCCTGGGGACCCAGCTGCCACCAGGGAATGGGGACATGGGGTGACACATGGACCCAAGGACTGGGATATGGATGGACATATGGATAGCCAGGGGACATGGGGATGTGGGCTGTCATGTTAAGAGCTTGGGAGCACCAGGTGTCACCATGGCTTGGGGACATGGACAGCCACCATAGCTTGGGGACATGTGGGGCCACCAGGACACAGATGGCCACCATGGCCTGGGAACACACAGGGCCACAAGGGCATGGGGACCTGGGCTACTGTGCCAGAGCCTGGGGAACGTGGGCTGGCACCAGGACTTGGAGACACACATGACCACCATGGCTTGGGGACACGGATGGCTTGGGGACACGGATAGCTTGGGGACATGCGGGGCCACCAGGGCTTGGGGACCCACCGTACCTGACAGAGCTGGGGCCGGTCCCCCCAGGACCTGCAGAGCAGGGTGCAGATGCGCAGGGCCACGGGCAGCCGCGGGGCTGGGCTGCCTGGGGGGCGAGCGACAGGGCAGGCACTGTCCCTGCCCAACCCCCCCCCTCCTCCGGGGGCTTTGGGCACCCCCCCCGTGGCACCACGGTGGCCCTGGCCAACCCCAGCCCCAGGGGAGTGGGGGGTCCAGCACGGTCATTGTCACCCCCAGCCCCAGGGGACTGTCAGGAGGCAAAGGGGGTCACCTTCCCTCCCATCCCAGGAGACCATTGGAGTCCAGGGTGCCCTTCCCTCCCACCCCAGGTGACCGTGGGGGTCCAGGGTGACTTCCCCCCCAACCAGGGACCGTGGGGGTCCAGGGCGACCACCCTCATGCCCACCCCCAAGATCCCTGGAGTTTGGGCATCCCGATGACCCTCCATCCACCCCCCACCCACTCACCCACCCCAGGGGACAGACACATGACTGGCACAGCCAGGGGGACCTGGAGGGACCCTTCCCCCCCTCCCCCAGGGTGGTGGGCGCCCAAGGGCGGGGGCCTTACGTGGGGGGGGCACGGGCAGGCGGGCGGTGGGCACCATGGCCTCCAACAGGACGCTGTCCTCCTCCGTCAGCCCCCGGAGCCGGGCACACACCGCCTGCACCACCGCCGCCCCCTCCTCCTTCCGGTGGGTGCTGTGGGTGCCCGTCCCCCGCCACCGCCACCCCGCCGGCCGCACCATCACCTGTGGGCACCTCCGTGTCACCCCGTGGGCACCCACTGTC